GGCAAGACCTGGTGGTCCGCAATTCAGGCCACATCCCTGAGTTACTGTGATTGATGGGCCAAGTGGGATGTGACCACTGGATTCCCAGCCCACGTGCCATTGGTGGCCTGGACCAGACCACATCAGTAGAGAGGAGAGGATGGAGGCTGAGTAGAACGGGAACAAGTGTACAGTTTACTTGTGAGAAGAACGAAGGAAATGGCATGAAAGGGAGGTTGTATCCAGCGAGGTTTGGGGTTTTGTTCTTGCCTCTTTGAAAAGAAAGGACAAACGGCGATGTATTTGTACATCCATGCAGTGATGGACTTGGCAAATCTGGCTGCAAAGGCTACGGTGTCACTTAGAGGGCGAAGGTGGGCCCGGCACAGCGGTGGTCTCTGCAATAGCCGGATACGCATGTGAAAACTGGACAGTGGCCAGGAAGTCAGAGGGCTGAACGGAGCCATTCGAACTGTGCGGTTGTCAAAACTCACCGCCTGGACCCTCACACACGCGGCTAGAAGTTCAGACAAGTGTTCCTTAGGAGCAAGGCTAGTGAGGTTAAAAAAAAAGCTACCCTCTAACGACAGAAAGATAAAAGAAGCAGTTGGGGAAAAAATGGGCAGAGGACTTGAACAGACGTCTCACCCCAAGACGTGAAGATGTCCAATAAGCTCATAAAAAGATGCACGATGTCGCCCTGAAGGAACGGTCGTCGATCGTCACCAGGAGGAGGAGGCAGGGTGGCAGAGTGAGTTACACGCTGGGCTGCTAGCCACAAGGTCAGCAGTTCGAAACCACCAGCGGCTCCATGGGAGAACGATGAGGCTTTCTACGCCCGTAGAGAGCTACAGTCTTGGAAACCCCCACCGCCACCCCCAGGGGCAGTTCGACTCCGTCCGATAGGGTCACTATGAGTTGGAATTGACTCGAGGGCAGTGAGTCTGCTTTGGTTTGGAGGAGTGGAAGGGGGTGCAGTAGTCTAGAGGGTAGGAAGGTGCTAACTTCCGTGACGGGGAAGATAATAAGAGGGAGTGAGGAGGGGAAAATGATGGAAATGGGCAACTATCAAGAGGTTGGATAAGTTGTTCAATAAAAGAAATGGTCTAAGCTGATAACCCTCGAATTCACAATAATTTTTTAATGATGCGTGTGTTAGTCCAGGTAGACTAGAGAAACAAATTCATAGATGCACTTATGTGTATAAGAAAGAGATTGCTATATGAGAGCAATTGATTGAATATTGAGAAAACATCCCAGCCCAGTCCAGATCAAGTCCATAGTCCAATATTAGCCCATATGTCTGATACCAATCTACAAAGTCCTCTTCAGACTCATGAAACACATGCAATGACCCTGAATGCAGGAAGATCACAGGCCAGTGGGTGGGAAGTCTTGCGGATCCAGTGGCAATGTAAGCATCCCAGCGCTGGCAGGGGTCTCCACGGGGCTCCTCCAATTCCCAGGGCATGGGGTCTATCAGCGTAGTGCCATGTGTCTTGTCAGTAGAGTGTTTCTCAGGGAACGAGCAGAGAGAGTCTCCTGCCTCCAAGGAGGAAATCCAGGAGTTCCCAGAATCCTCAGGAGAAGGCCATGCCCACACAGAGGCCTCAACAGCTATATCCCGATCGGCAGACTAGATTCCACCCCTTCACTCTTAACCCTCTCAAGTCCTACATTGACACCAGATTATGTATCTGCTACAATGCACAACGTCATTAGCAATTAGATGCAAATCCAAATGCCAACGAGATCCTGTCTCACCCTGGGTGGTGGTGGTGGTATTCGGTGGTGCTCAGTTGATTCTGACCCAAAGTGCCCCTCTGTGCAGCAGAAGGAAGAACTTCCAGTCCTGTGCCCTCCCCCAAAGGCTGCTCTGCTTGAGCCCATTGTTTCAGCCACTGTGTCCATCCATACCCTCTACCTTACCAAACATGGTGCCCCTCTCCAGGGACTGGTCTCTGCTAATAACATGTGGCTCATCCTGTGACCTCCGGTTCTTTGAACTTGAGCCGGTAGCAAGCTGTCTTACCTGTCATCCTTGGAGTCCTCGGCAACCTGCCGTCTTACCTGCCAACATTAGATCCATTCATCTCGACAGCCATAAACCTACCGTCTGACTGGGGTCATCAGGCCCTGCACCTTCATGAGTCAGGAGAAGCCTCCAGCCTGGCAATTGACCCACAGATGTGAAACTTGTCCATCTCTATAAATATGTTTATCATTTCCTCGATACAAACCTCTCTATGTGATTGTTTGGCGTCAAGTGGATTCTGACTTCCAGCGACCTTATATACAACAGAATGAAATACTGTTGGCCCAGTCCTGCCCACTGTCCTCACAAGTGTTCTCATGTTTGAGCCCATGTTGCAGTCACTGTGTCCATCCATCTCACTGAGAGCCTTCCTCTTCTTTGCTGCCCCTCTATGTCCCCTTGCGTGATGTCCTTTTTCAGGGATTGAGCTCTCCTGATAAGTCCAAAGTACACGAGACAAAGTCTGACCATCTAAGGAACATTCTGGCTGCACTCCTTCCAAGGTAGATTGCTTTGTCCTTTTGGCAGTCCCCGGTACTTTTCAATAGTCTTCTCCAGCACCGTAATTCAAATGCACCCATTTTTCTTCTGTCTTCATTACTCAATGTCCGACATATACGAGGCCATTGAAATACCATGGGTTGGGTCAGTGCCCCTTAGTCCTTAAAGTAACATCCCTGCTTTTCAACACTTTAACGAGGTCTTGTACAACAGATTTACCCAACGCAATGCATCGTTTGATCTCTTGACTGCTGCTTCCTTGAGCGCTGATTGTGGATCCAAGCTAGAGGAAACCCTTGATAGCTTCAATCTTTCCTCTTTTACCACGATGTTACTGATTCACCCGGTTGTGAGAATTTAGGTTTTCTCTCCATTGAGCTGCAATCCTTACTCAAGGCTGCAATCCTTCTAATGCTTCCGGTCCGCTCACTTTCAACAAGCCAGGTGTGTCACCTGCACACTGCGGGTTATTAAGAAACCTTCCTCCCAATGCTGCATTCTTCCTCTCATCCAGGTTCGCTGGTGATTTACTCAGCACGCAGATTGAATAAGTGTGGTGAGAGGATACAGCCCTGATGCACGCCTTTCGTGATTTTAAACCACTTAGTATTCCCTTGTTCTGTTCACACAACTGCCTTTTGGTTTAGATACAGGTTCCCAAGGTGCACCATGAAGTGTTCTGGAATTTCCATCCCTCTCAAGGCTATCTATAAGTTGTTGTGGTCCCCACAGTCAAATACATTTGCATAATCAATAAAATACAAGTAAACATCTCTCTGGTATTATCTGATTTCAGCCAAGATCCAGCTGACACCAGCAATGCTATCTCTTGTTCCACATCCTCTTCTGAGACTGAGCTGAATTTCTGGGAGTTCCTTCTCAATGTATTGCTGCAGCCATTATGGGATGACCACAAAATAATAATTTATAATTTATCAAGGGTTCAATAGGGAGGGGGAGCAGGAGGGAGGGGGGAAATGAGGAGCTGATGCCAAGGGCTTAAGTGGAGAGCAAATGTTTTGAGAATGATGAGGGCAATGAATGTACAAATGTGCTTGACACAATTGGTGTTTGTATGGATTGTGATAAGAGTTGTATGAGCCCCCAATAAAATTATTAAAAAACTATTCTTCTGTAATTTACATGTTATTTTGGGTCACCTTTCTCTCGAATGGAACAGATATGGATCTCTTCCAGTCAATTGGCCAAATAGCTGTCTTCCAAATCTCCTGGCATAGACGAGTGAGTGCTTCCAGTGCTTCATCAGCTTGTTGAAACATTTCAATCGGTGTTCCATCAGTTGCTGGAGCCTTGTTTCTGGTCCATGCCTTCAGGGCAGCTTGAGCTTCTTCCTTCAGCACCGTTGGTCCTTGATCAGATGCCACCTCCTGAAACAGCTGAATGCTGACTAGTTCTCTTTGGTACAGTGACCCTATGTAGTCTTTCTACCTTTTTTGCTGTCTGTTATCATTCAATATTTTGCACATAGAATTTTTCAACATTGCATCTAGAGGCTTAATTTTTTTTCTTGAGTTCTTTCAGTTTAAGATAAGCTGAGCATGTTCTTTCTTTTTGGTTTTTGACTCTTGGTCTGTACACATTTCATGATTATATTTTACTTTGTCTTCTCAGGCTGCCATCTGAACATTTCTTTTTCTCTTCTTCGTATATTTTTATTGGCATATAATTCACATAGCATTCAATTCAATAGTTGAGTCATATTAAGAAGAGTTATGCAATCATCACCACACTCGGTTTCGAACAGTTTCTTCTTTCTCATCAACTCCCCACGACCCTTCTGAAGGGGATGTCCAATTGCCTACAGATGGACTTTGGGTCTCCACTCTGTACTCCCCTTCATTCACATTGATATGATTGGACATCCCCTTACAGAAGGGTCGCAGGGAGTCGGTGAGCCAGTTAGGGTGCAGTATAGCACCAATGAAACATATAACTTTCCTTTAGTTCTTTAATGCTGCCTCTCCCCCCTCCCCACTATCATGACCCCAAATCTACCTTACAAATCTGGCTAGACCAGAGCATGTGCACAGGTACAAATAAGAGCTAGAAACACAGGGAATCCAGGACAGATAAACCCCTCAGGACCAATATTAAGAGTAGCCATACCAGGAGGGAAAAGGGAAGGTGGGTGGTGGACAACAGAAAAGTGGGTAAAGAGAGACATCGGTCAGTGTAAGACCTGAAAAATAATAATAACTTATAAATTAGCAAGGGTTCATGAGGGGGGAGTGTGGGCGAGGGAGGGGGAAGATGAGAAGCTGATACCAATGGCTCAAGTAGAAAGAAATGTTTTGAGAACAATGATGGCAACAAATGTACAAATGTGCTTGACACAATGCATGGATGTATGGATTGTGATAAGAGTTGTGCGAGCCCCCAATACAATTATTAAAACAAAACTGGGTGTTCAGTTGACATTTTTTGTTCAACTCTTTTCTGTCATCATTTCTTCCATTTGCCTTAGCCTCTCTACTATTAAGAGCAATTTGATTGTGCCCTTCAACTGGTGAGGAGGTGAACAGACCGTAGACCATGCGGTCAATGGGACACCACTCCACAGTCCGGAGGAGTCACTGATTCATTCAGGAACAACATGGGTGAGTCACCAAAGCACTGGAATCCCAATTCTAAGGCAACAAGCCATGGGATGCCATGACTAGGACATTCTGGAAAGGACAGGAGGAAAACAGCCCAGGGCTTACAAGGAGCTGAAGGGTTGACTCCAAAGATGGATTTGGAGGGGTGGCAAGGGGGGTGATGAGGTGATAGGGTGGTCCATGGTAGTGGCTACTTGTGCCTATCAAAACCCCAAAGGGTGGCTTTTACTGTATGCAACTTTTAAAATAAATTGGAAAAACATGAAGGTAACTATTATTGGACGCAATCTTGTAATAGGATTGTATGAATGGCGAGCACAGATGGACAATGGGACTCCATCACAAACCGGTTGGCTGGAGGATATTTCTGCTGATGCTGCAAATATATCCAAATATATCACATTTGGAGGGAAAGGTTCTAAAAAAAAATTCTTAACCAAATAGTCCAGATTAAATTCTTAATCAAATAGTCCAGCTGCTCCCATTTCCCACCCCCTCCCCTCTCCCATGTCAAGTGTGTTTGCATTGGGTCCAGTCGGGGGACAGGAGACAACACCAACTAAATGTGCTGGGAGGAGATGGTCTCCACAGTAAAATCACAGTCTGTTACTGGGGGCGGGGGTGGGTCGGGGGTGGGAGGTGGCGGGTATGCGGGAGCACGGCTGAGAGGACACGCCTCCTGTGAGAGAGTTTCTAAACCCCTCCCAGACCAGCTGGCTGCCCCCTGGGCTGGCTAGGGAACTGGCTGGAAGCAGAGAGGGAGACAGTGAGGTCATTAGGAAAAGTCAGGGTGTGCAAGGCTGGCAAGTCCAGCCCACTAACTCTCCCCCCAACAGGTCGGAACTAGATCGGGGAGGGGGCAGGGAGGTGGAGTGGCTTGGAATGACACCCTTGTTCTATCTGCCCCCACAGTCTCCCTGAAGAATGACCCACCAGGCTGTCCCTCTAGCACTGAGACCTTAGTGCAGCAAAGGAGCCGGCAACTTCCCCAGTAGGTGAGATTTCCTGTTTTGTTTCTCGAAATCATAAAGCCACGTGTTAAGAACTTGTGTTAAGAACTTCAAATCGTGTCTATTGTTTGAACCTCACTGTTCTTTTCAAACTTAAAATCGCGTCTGTCATTTGAACTGCGTCGTTAGCTGCTGTTGAGTCAGCCACGGACTCTGGGTGCTACATGCATAACGGAGCCCAATGCTAGCTGGCCAGGTGCTGTCCCCAAGACTAGTTGTGCACTTGACAGTTGGGATTCAGAGCTCTCAGTGGCTGATTTTTGGAAGTAGATCACCAGGCTTTTCTTCCTAGTCTACCTCAGTCTAGAAGCGCCCCCTGAAACCTGGTCAGCATGGCCACTGACAGATGGGTGGTGGCTGTCCACCGGGCGCAGTGGCCAGGAATTGAATCCAGGTCTCCACCCCTGGGTAATTCCACATGTTCTTAAAGAACCTCCCTTTGATGAGTGATGCAAAACTTATCAACAATATCAT